TAGAGCACAGTCAGGAGATGGAAACTCTCACTGTTGGAGTGTGTCTTGCACACAGGTTGCTTTTGAACTAGAGCTGCAGAACAGGAACCTGTAATACCCTTGAAAAGGGAAATTATGAAAATGTGGAATGATGTCCTACTTGTAAATTATCACTTTCTTCAGTAGAGCAATCTGGAATAGAGTTTCATTCTGGAGAGGACAGAATACCTGGGYTTCCAGCTTTTGGGAATGTTGTTCCTCTGCTGCAGCACAGCTGCTTTGTGTCCGCAGTCTGTCACTGACATGGAACAGCTTAATTGTCCCACAGCAGTGGGATTTAATAAACACTTTCAGTATCATCCCCACACCTTCAGTATAATAAAAAAACCCAACACCTGAGAAAAAATTTACTTCTAACTGCTTCTTGGCAGAAGGACAGGCATGCTGTATAGTATTCAGAGCATGAATGCAGTGTGGTCACATTCCCAATGCAACCACATGGACCCCAACATGTTCAATATGCAGTGCAGCTGTCAATTTTTTGCTTTGACMCATTTTTTACACAAACAGAAAAAACCTGAGCTACTCCCATGCCCAAACACACAAGAAAAAGAACTAATTCTGCCTAGATGAAGTGCATTGACATGACAAACTCATTGCAGTCAGCTCCACAACTCGGGGGACTGGAGGGGATCCCTCACTTGCACTTTTTGTCTAGCACTTACTAGACATGCTTAGCACTTTAAACAGTTCAGAGACTCAGCAAATTTCACAAGATATCAGCTCCAGAGCAGCTGGGAGGAAATCCTCCCAGAAAACTTGGGCCCAACGTCTCTCCTAGCTGACGAGATACATTAATTTGTTCTGAAACCCCAGAGGCCAGAGTAGGAGGGCATCAMAGTGGACAGCGCTGCTTCAATACTGACCCAACAGCACAAGCCTTGATGCAAATCCCATCAAGTCAACTCAAGCAAAATACAAATCTTGTCACAGAAAGTACAAAATCTATCCCACATTCTGAAGATCAGTCACTGTCTGCAAACACTTCCAGAAATTATTCCTACTTACTTAGGCAGAAGTCTGATTATAGAATCACTGGGACACAGCATTACTACTGATAAGTTTCAAAAAAATTTGCATCCTAGCTATGTCATTGCTAAAAGAGTTTATCCCTGTTATTTCCTTTAATGTTACCTTGCAGATGGACACAGTTGATATTTCTTCTCTTGGACTGTGCTGCAAGGTCAGGGAAATCACCAAATGCAGGGAGCTCAGGACATGACACCTTTTTTGATTTCCTGCTCAAAAGAAAGCTCTAGGGCATCTAAGAGCTCCTGCTCCTGCTAAGCTTTTGCTACTGTTGTCAGATAGTCTAAAAAAACTCTTAGTAGCTTTGAATTATGATCACCAAGAAAAATGTACTGCCTAAAGCTGCAGCTTTATGATGATGGGTGCTGGTGATGCACAGAAGTGCTTTCCACATGCTTCAAGAAATACGCAACCTCACCTTTTCTCCTGGACAAGGTATAAAGAACATCAATATTTATTGCTGGAACTTCCATCTACATCAGTGACTTTTCCACCCCAGCATCATATTTCAGCTGGGCTGAAAAGGAAGAGGAAGCTTTTGTGCAGCAGCCATGAACTGCCCAACATATGCACATTATGTGCATGTTTCATAGATTCACAATGAGCAAGACATTTTCCCGAGGAATTCAAACATCAGGAAAACTAGACACAATTTTCTGATAAAGAAATCCTCTGTGAAGTATCCATGCAAGCTGGTATGGCTTCTCCAGGTTAGCACACCCTGCACAGTGTCCCTCAAGAGCACAGCAAAACAACAATCCCCACTGCCAACCTCTCCAGCTCCAAGAGAACAGGGCTGGAAGATGAGTGCAGCCAGCTACTAGTGCAGCTAATCCCTTTCTCCTTCCTTCTTTCATGGATAGTTTCCCTTAAAACAGCATAGGGAAGATTTTTACAATTGTTCATCTTCATGAGACAGTCTTTGAAATAGGAACAATATTTTACTTCATGTGATTGTATAACATTGTCATGGCTTGAATATTTTTGACAGTGAAATAGGCTTACCTAATAAAGTGGGTGCTGTGTTGACTCCTCTTTCCTCCTTTCCTCAAAGGCAGGAGTGTTCACAGTACAGAGAGAAGGTATTTGCTGCTCTTCTTGGTTTTCAGAAATACAGTGCTTAAAAAGACCTATCTGCTCATGTAGTCTTGTTTGTCTCTTCCTACAATAACTACAACATGYCAGCTTGTTCAGCTGCAAGCATGGCAGGCAAAGCAAGATCAAAGAAATTAATTCAGCCTCATCAGTTTTCAGGGTGAGGTCTGATAGCTGGTGGAATTCATTCCTTGCCAGCAGGATTCCCTTGTAGAAATGTGCATGTGAAACAGAGGCTTATTGGAGCATTAGATTCCTGGGCAATGGCCATGGCCATCGAAATATTGCCAAAACCACGAACCACGAGGTTTCTATGCTGTTTAGCTCTCTGTCCTGGAACAAGGGTGCAGTCATAAARACCTCAGTGAATGCCAGTTTTTCCCTAGTGTCTTTCCCTACCAATTTGAYAAGTCATTTTGATGTCATCTAGTCAGGTAGCAGTCAGAAAGAACTGACTTTGAAGAACTTAGACACACAGCCTAGCTTTCATAATCCTACCATAGTTTCTGATTTGCTAAAGGAAGCTTATGCAGGGGTGGTTTCAGGCATACTTTTAAATATTCTAAACATTTTTATCGATGATTCATCCAATTTGCCTTGGAAAGTTTTGGGGTTTTTTTTTTKTTTGTTTTTTTTTGCCAGAGGGCATGGTTTTAAATTTGTTGCATTATTCATTCATAACGTCAGCTGACAGTGTTTCCAGCCAGGTGAGTAAAGAATAAGAACTAACTGGCGTATGAACCATAATGCTTAAGCAGGATCATTTCAGTATGGGGAAGATTCAGACATGACATAGCAGTAAATAGTATGTCTGAGTGTTCCTTACTTACAAGGACTTGAATGACAGTCTCAGCATATCCCATCTCTAAAAATAAAAGAACTTTTTAAATGTTTGTTTAGAATTAATTTCCTGACATGTCATTCAATAACTATTCCTGGTTCCATGGCACTTATGCATGACAAACACACCAGAAMATGGGATTTTTGAGGTGTATAGCTCTGGTTGGATGATAAGCAATTTCTGAGACAAAGCTTTGGTCCAGGCACCAGAGAGCACAATACATCTTCATGAAATATAGAATTAGTATTTGGATTTCCCAGCCAATCTGTTACCATCAGAGTTTGTATTTCTCCTGGAAATCCAGATGGACATCCAGATGAGGAATTAAGTTAATTAAGACCATATTTACTGCCTATAATTCCAAAGAAAGAAAATTATACAAGGTGACATTTAATTTTCTTTCTCTTCCCTAGTACCTTAAAAAGTGGTGCTCCCTGAAGGAAAAAGGGAAAAGCATCAGTCCTGTTTGACTGAGAGGCCAACAGACATTGCTGGACAATAAAATGGCAGGAGAGTAAGTCCTTCAGAATCAAGGGATGAGGAAAAACAGCACAGATATGTAACCCTCTTAACTTGTCTCACCCTACAATTTCAGGTGTAGTTCAAGTAAGACTGCTTTCTTTGTCCTTGATATCTCAGAATAATTTCACCAGATGCTCCTACAGATTCTCTGATCTGATTTTTCTTTTGCCATACCTTCATCAGGTCCCGTCCCTCATGGTCTGTAGCATAAACAGCACTTCTCTATGTACTRTATCTGAAGCATTGGATTTCTTAAACATCTACAGATCTTGGGAAATAAGGACCATGTCCATGGAGTCAAATGGAGGCCAGGCAGCATGTCCTAGGAAATGTAAAGTGCTATTAGAAATCTGAGTCCAGAGGGTTGAATCCTACACATGGACATGTAGATACCAACCAAGTATTTGCTGTAAAACTTCCTCTACTTCCTCTGTTTACCCATGACAGTTAAGCTGCACCATCTTTTTGGAAACAGCTTGAAAAGACAAGACACCAAAGAGAAAGCATTTTTAATAGATAAAAAAATTTATAGGTTAAATAAATGCTGTGACAGTGCTACCTAACTTATTTGAATTTATGCATATGTCATATCCATATTATGGCAATTATGGGAACATATAATTGAATAATGAGGCTGAAATCACCACAGAAGTTCTTTTAATTAAAATGCTTAAATTTTCTTTATACCTCTTTTTAGACAAGGTTTTGTACGGGGTTTATTTTTGTTGTATTGTGCTTTTTTTAAACAAAAAAGGGGGAAAATATATTTTGTTAAACAGCAGAATCATAAGAGAGAATAAAGCTGAAGGTGAGATCMAGTGATTATGACATGGGTCGGTGTGTGAGAGAAGCCTATCTCAGGTGTGGTGTGAGCCAAAGAAGAGCAATAATACATAGGYACAGTGAAGTACATTTTTTTTAATAATAGGATAACAATATACTTTGGTCAAAGTTCTAATAAAGATAACAGCCATTAAGARGACTAATCTCAAAGTTAACATTGCATAAATCAGCTGAGAATTTGGCCCTTGATCCAGATCTATTTGAATGAAATATTGACAAGTTCTAATTTTATCTTCAGTCCTGTGACTGTAACTGACATTAAYTCCCAGCTATCTGTAGAGGAAGGGACATTTTCTGCTAGACCATTCTGCTCCAAGTCCCAGCCAATCTGACCTTGGACACTTCCAGGGATGTGGCACCCACAGCTCTGGGCAACCTGCTCCAGTGCCTCACCATCCTCACAGCATAAAATTTCTTCCTAATGTCTAATCAAAAACCTGCTGGTTTTCAATTTAAAGCCATTACCTCTTGTCATTGTCCCTACATGCCCTTGTAAAATGTCCCTCTCCATCTCTCTTTTAGGTCTTTTAGGTACTGGAAGATCCTATAAGGTGTCCCTACACCCTTCTCTTTTCCAGGCTGAACAACCCCAACTCTCAGCTGTCTCCAGAGGAGAGGTGCTGGAGCCCTCTGATCACCTCTGTGGTCCTCCTCTGGACTTACTCCAGCAGGACCAAACTTTCCTGTGTTGGGATTTCCAAAGCTGGACAGCACTCTACTCAGGGTCTCCTGGAGAAAATGCAGGAGGACATCAGATGGAGGACATCACCTTCCCTGACYTGCTGGCCACGCTGCTTTTGAGGGAGTGMAGGATGTGGTTGGCTTTCTGCTCTAGAGCAAGGATCAGAACCCACAACTGTTTCACAAGTTGACTGCCACAACTAAACCTGGGATGTGAATTTCCATGGCCTGACTTATACCTCCCGGATCTCTAAGACAGGACAACATTTTAATGCTRGTGGGGCACATCAAACCCCACTCTAAAATTGCTGGACATGCATGTGGTCAAAATACAAGACTAGGAAGCAGAAGTGCTGTTATTCTCCTCAGTTTCTCTCCTTTCAGAGTAACTTGCAAAAGCAGCCTGCCTTGAAGATCTTTTACGAAGATTCAACACTTCCTTTTCATAAAGCAATTTGAAATCCTGTGCTCACAGATACTAATAAGCCCTCATATATGATAATATACTTGATTTTAAACTCATAAATTCTCTAATTTATGCCTTTTCAGAACTCACAGCAACATGATTCATTAGAATAGTTAACAAATGACATGAATTTATTATTCAAAATTTATGAAGTACATTTTTTTCTCATTTACATGAAGATATGTAGTGCAATAGTCAATAACGCTTGCTCCATCCTCATTTTCAATTTATGATAGGGTTGTAGAGGAATGCAGGGAATAGAAATGCATCATCATAAAAAATTTTGAGATCAATGAGACCTAAATATTTTTCTCAGATTCCCCCAGCTGCTACAATGGGCTTTCTCCAGTGCCTTCCCTTCCCAAGAGGGTGTCTTGCCTATTAGAGAGCACAGATTCTTCCAACATGAGGAGGTTTASAGTTCCTTGGGTGGGAAACTATTGGTGAACCTGAACTGTCATCACAGTTCAGATTGCAAAGGGTGCTGAAAATGATTAATCATGGTCAAATTGYCCTAAACTTGGAGAATGAGTCATAAGGTATTGCTTCACCTCTCCTAMAAATTCATTTAGATACGGTGAGGGTGTCCAATGTCAGAAGGAATTACACCTATAGCTTTTCAAAATCTAGAGACTCTTACAGTACAGATGAACAAATACCACAGTGTACCTCACAACTGAACCTCTGCCCTTGCAGGCTTAGCTTTTCAATGACATATTTTGATCTCCAGCAATTTTTCACCACTGAAGTATAAAACCTAGGAAGAGCTGGCAGAACCTTTCCCATGCAGCAGCAGCACAAACACAGACAAACAAAATTCATTTATAAGGGCTCCCCTTCCTCTGCCCTTCTATTACCCTCCAAATGGAGACTGAGTTGGCMACCTCATTTGCCCTTTTTGCACCTCTTTTTTCCAGATTTGGGGCACAGRATGGCAGGGAGGAGGGCTGATGAGCTGATGTGTGGGTCTGAGCTGCTGCGCCTGAGGACTGGCAAAGGGGAGAGCTGCAAGAGGAGCATGACTGTCTYCTTACTTGCAGCTGTTCTTAGAGTGAAGTATATCACTTAGGGAAATGCATAATTTGTGAGAATTCCTCTGAGATATGGATTTGGGTWATGGCTATAGGCAATGCATTTTCTTCGTTCCTTGCACTGTCCTAAGGATGTTGAAACATCAGCATAACACAGAAAAGTTCTATTAGCAAAAGATTCCATCCCCAACAAGCACAGCAGAGAAATAAAAAAGCTCATGGTTTGTGCCTGTGACCTTGGGATTTGGGGYTCTTGAGAGGGTAATATCCCACGTTAGGAAAACTGCAGGAGAGCTGGCTTCTGCAGTATGGAAAGGGCAATGTCAGCAGGACAAAGTGGATGATAAATTATGAAGAATGAWGAATATACCCTACCTCTGCAAATGTCCTCATACTCCTCACCCCTTTCCTGTGCTCCYAGGATGCTGGCTGTGTTTCACAGGATTGGTCAAGGTAGTAATTTATCTGATGGAGCGGATTTTTGTTGATGAGAAAAGTTARACTGGGATCTTTTTATAGCTGTTTTACAGAGACATGAAGGAGCCTGAGGCATAAAGTAGCTGTCATGTAACTAAGATAAAAAGAGCAAATCAGAAATACGAAAAGAAAAAGAGGGGGAAGAAAGGTAAGACTTTTGTGTCCTTGTGAACCCCTGAAATCAGAAGTTCTTAACTTCTGTTTAATAAAAGAGACAAATGATGACTCATTATTTCTTCTTATTGTCTTAGAACAGAGAAGACATTTTGGTTTCCTTATATATACACCAGCAACCTCCCATACCTAGATAGCAYCTGAAATTCAATTATACAAAAGGAATTGTTCCTGAAATGGCAGGACAATTAATGTGTGCAGRTAAGATAGCAAAGACAGAGAGAGAGCTCACCTAAGAAACCAGTGCYTTACTGTCAGCCTCCTCCTTGTTGAGGAGCCCTAGGGCTCACTGAGGCTTGAAAGACAATCTGCTGAGATGAGCATGTGATAATATCTCCACTGAGGAAAGCTCTCCCTGTTCAGAAATACAGCAGGGTTATCCAGAAGCAGCAGTTCCCTCTAGCCTCCAGCCTACATCTCTGTATTGTTAATATGGCCACGAGCAATACATGCACCACTTGACAAGATGGAGAGATTATTTAATCATTTATGCACAGTTACATCCTATAAATGTAACTGTATTTAGATACAGCCTTCTTATGTATTAGCACCTTGAAGAGGTACTTACTGCCTTTGAGCCACAATACAGGTACTTAATTTGCAAAAAACTTTTGGAATATTCAGTCTGTCTCATTGACTATTATTCCATGTATTGCCCTGCATGTCTGGATCAGGCTGGAGGTTTGCTCTCAGAGTACTATTTTTATCAAGCTAGCAATAAAAAAAAGCCATATTTCTCTGAAGTCCTCATTGGCTCCTGTGCMGTTCAACAAAACAGAGACACTCATTGGCCCACTGTTTGTAGTGGTTTTCCCCACCTCTCATTTTTCTGAAAACTTCATCACCAGTGATGTTCCATAGTGAGTATGAGTATTTCCCTCATTCATAGTGTGTCTCAGAGTGTGATAATTCACACAGAAAATAAAGAATTTCCAGTGAAACCAGATATTTTTCATCTAAAGCAGACACAGCAACAGAAGCTGCTAAGAAACTGCACCATTGCAATGAAAATTAACCATCTCTCAAATCAGACAAATAAAGCAGAAGGTGCAAAGCCATTAGCAATACTGGATTTTGTGCAGATTTCTAGCTAACTCCAAGACATTTTGCTTACTGCTGTTGTAACTCTACTTGCTAGGAAAGGGTCATATTTCATACCCCATGAATACTCTTGGTTCAGTGGTCTTGGTTATTCATCACTATAAAAATTGTGAGTTTTGAATATAAATACTAGCAATTAGTAAATGAGCAGGTACTTCAAGGCTACTGAGTCAAGGTCTTTTGGGGAAACTGTATAATCACTAAACATACATGGGCATGATTGATAATTCTGTAGCATAACCTTCTACACAAACATCACACTTTTCTGCTACACAATGTTAAGGCTCTATGTGGGGGAATCCATGGCTCAAATGTTACATAGTGGTCTGAGATCTCATTGCTCAGCACATTTCCCTATGTTGTTCTTTATAAATTCTAACTGTAGATGAGGGGCAGAAATATTTCCACTYAAGCTTTTTATTATTATTTTGGTAAGCCATAATTAGGTTGTCGCTTATTCAGATCCATCTGGCAATCCGAAYATCTGCGTTCATTACGGGAAGGAGTGATTACAATTTGTTCCAAATAACTGCTGTTTGAATTAACTGAGATGACAGATAAATGCTAATTTCCTCTGCTTCAGAGGCCTTAGGGGAAGTTTAAAGTGCAGAGGCTGTTTTTGGAGATGCTTCCTCCACACTCAGCAGAGAAGGCGCAGTCCTCTAATGGGTAYGTTCCATAAATACTTACTGCTAATTCTGTATCAACTGGAGAGTGTATCTACACTAGATTAGGAGTTCAGATCAGCAAGGCTCTTTTCAAGTGACCTCCTGGTAAGTCTCACTTTACTGTGGCTTTGGCCACATCAGAAATTTGTCTTGACACACACAACCTGGATTCTGGAAGATCAGTGGATGAACCACTAACAGGAACTCAGTTCTCAAGACTGATCGAGAAACAGACTGGAGTGAAATCCCYTGAAAGGTGTAGAGTGTGGACAGCTAACCCACAGCATCAGCAGTTTKGTCCTAGACTTCCATTCTCACCATGCTGCACTATTTGGTAAGGCAATCATTCCCTAAAATGCTAGGTTACTGTCATTTGAAAAAATGTTCACAGAAAAAGCACCAGATTGATCTGGCAGCTGATGTGCTTACTTACACCTGATTCATCCTGTCAYGAGCACAAAGGTAATTTCTAGCTATGAAAGTTATAGCTATCACCAAATACTGTAGAGGGAACTACAGTTATCAGCCTATGCTATCACCAATACATACTAGAGGGAATTAATCCATTTTARAACACTTTTCCCTTATATTTCTCTTAAGAAAAAGCCAAAACRTTAAACAGAAGATAACATGAAGGCTATTTTAAAACATGAAGTTCATATATATTACTTTGTCAGGCATGTTGTTTGAGTAAAATAATCAGTTCTCATTTTGAGTGAAGCCCGGTCCTAATGATTTCCAAGAAGCTATACTATAATATGCAGGATATATAATATCACAGGATGATAATTATTATGTATAACCTGAAGACTTCAATGGGTTATGCTGCTCGCCATCAGACAAAGCTAATGGCTGAGCCAGTAGCAGAACAGAAAAGATTTGACAAGAGTTTTTGATTGCTTTAACAATAAATGTTATTTTATGAAGTCACTAGCTAATTAAAAGAAACCAAAAAAAAGAACAACAAAAGAACAACAAAACCAAACCCCTCATGCTTTAAAACCTTTCCTTAAATTATTCAGCAATTTGTGAGGGAAAGCAGAGATGTGATCACATTCAGGTCCAAATCACTCTCTGCCCCATTAGTTTTCTTCCCATACCCTACAGAATTGTATGCGTATTTAGCAGGATTCCCCTTCCTCTCTGCCAGCACTACACCTTCAGTCCAGATGGCTGCTCTGGCTCCCATCTTCCAGCATTTATTGTTTGATAGAGTTCTCAGCCTGCACAGCACAGCCAGTGTTACACTGGGAATGAAGCAAGATGGGAGAGTTACTCCAATCTCCCAAGGGAAAAGAAATCTTAATTTTAGTATATTTTATCAAAGGACTCCTTCTCTTGACAGCGCTTTCTAACGTGAACAAGTAGCTCCCTGTTAAAGACACTGCCGTGTCACTATCAATTACCTGTGGAGCACCACTAGGACAGGAAAAGYGCTTGAGGTGCCAAAAGTGGCTAGGTTTATTATCATCTCCCATTAGCTTATTRCAGTGAAATAATGAAACAGTAACTTGCAAGCAGGGTGAAAAACCAAGCAGGATGCTATATCAGTAATTGGTCTTGTCACTCTTGTTAAACAAGAATGTATAAGAAGAGGGTTTGCATCATGATGGGAAATGTTGCTCTCAGTTTAGTATCACATGTACACTGAGTTTTACATTCAGACAC